CTGTGCCATAAAGAAGGAAGAATTTTAAAATATTTTCAATATGCAGATGTCTTGCCAAAAGCACAAAAAAGAGCCCACCATGAATACATTACAGAAATAAAAAAATGTTTGCTCATTTCTGAATTTCCTGGAGTTTGCTTAATGTCAGCAGTCCCATTCAATAGCAGAAATGTAAAACCTTGTGACAGCTATTGAACCCCCGACCCCTGATAGGCAGTTCCAGCTTTGCAGGGACTGGTTTTGAAATCATTCAGTCCGTTCGCCTGCATCTTGTTACAGTCAGTGCAACTGATGCAATACTATGAATCTCTTTTTCCCTGTACATTTTTAACTCCCTCATGCCAGTAATTATTTTACAAGAATAAAAACCAGGGCTGCTCTGTTTCCCAGGCAACAAGCGTGCATCTAGTTTTTGTTTAAATTGGTAAATATTTAGGAGAATAAAAAGATAGTTTTTATCTGAAACATGTTTTTGCAGCCTTGAAACAGTGAGGGAGCAAGAAAGGGACTGAAAAACAGCCTGCCATTTCGTTTCCTCCCTGTATTTTGGACTGCTTTTGAGCCAGCATGTGTGCGCATGCACACTCACTCGCTTGGTCTGCTCCTTTACGCCGTGACTTCATTGTAAAATTCAATTCATCTGTTCAAAGCAATGACTGAAACACTGTCTATAAAATTGTGGCATTTTTCCACTTAAAAAATATAAAAATTTAACACTTCTTCATTTAAAAGTTATTTTTAAACCTCGTTGGCCTGAAGTCAATTTTAGTCGTAACTGAAGTGGATTCTTATTTTCCTAGAATTCAATGCCTTCCTTTTCTTAAATATATTAGTTTGAAAGAAAAAACAAAAGTAGTAAAACCAGTAAATGCACAGTTTACACTTCTGCCTACGCTGTTTTACCCTCTGACATATCAGCAGAGTTTGCTTTTCAACTTACTACTATGCAACAAACCCAAACGAGTCTTTACTTTTTGTAGTTTAGGAACTTGACTCGAACACGGACGTCAGCAATCCCAGAGCAGAACCACTTATGTTCAGTTTCAATCTGGCTGGGACACCCATAGAGCAACACCACAGCCAGTAACTGTCTGAGTCAGAGTCTATGTCTGGGAGGTAATTGAAGATCCTTCAGAAACACGGCTGAATTTGAAAAAAGAAAGCATCAGAGCATTATTACACTGCAAAGATACATACGGCTTCTGGCACTATATCTGCATTTACACATCAATAGCCAAGCATGAAATAGATTAACTGAGAGAGCTGTTGTCGCATAGGTAGGTCAAATGAGTATCCTCATTTTCCAGGACTGTCTCAAGAGACAGTAGGACATCTGGTCTTCTTAGTGAAGTAGCTGATCTGGAATCTGGGTTTAGTAAAACTACCCCTCCTCCAAAAAAAAATCTTGAATCTAAGCAATTAATATGTCACCAAGAAGTATTTTAAAGAATAACAAATAACAAGCAAACTGACCTGGCAGGGAGAGTATTTTCCTTCTCCTTTCAAAGGGAATTCTGTTTTTCCCAGGAGAAAATTCAAGCTAAATTATACTGACTTTCTATGCAGTGAATGTTCACATGCACAGTATTATCTGCACTGTGACAACTCTGCTGAGATGAGAATATAGGATTTATATACTTCAGCTCTACATGTTTTGTAAAGGTTATCAGCAAGCACAGTAACGCAAAATAATTAGAAGAGAAGAACTTTGAACTCACTTTATCCACAAAAAGTAATTTAATCAGATTTTTATTTTCTAAGTTGAATTTTCTCAAGTCTGAGCTCAGCATTAGTGTGTTTAGTCCTTCAAATTAAGCAAGCATTATTAGCTAACTCAGGGTTTAAGGATGACAAAGGAAAGGTGAATTTTTTTATATTAAAAAGTGTCACTTCAGGGTATTTTGGGTTTTTCTGTTGTTGTGTTACTGCTTGAGTGGTTAGGGATTTGGAATCAAAATTTCATAAGGACACAGCATCTGTCTAATCTTTTAACCTAACAGTGTTAGAAGCATACCGAAGATGGGCTTCAGGAGAATGTTACAGGGTTTGTTGTACTTTTCAAACAGCAGGCTCTGGAGATTTGTTTTGGGAGGATTTTTTGGTTTTGTTTTTTAAATGAGGCGATGAAGATGTACAGGGTGGGAAGCAAATTCACAATGGTGGACCAAGACACTCAGAAGCATTCAGCTTCTCTGTCTTCAGTACCTGGACTGAAGGTACAATGCTCTGCGCTGTGCTCCACTCTTCCTCTGTGCAAGGCTGCGGAGTGGAGTTCAGCCTTAATATTAGTAAGATGTGCCTTGCCAACATGTGCTTGCTGAATGAGGTAGGTCTCCATTACCTCATTCTACACGACCCTTTTACAGATTTTACCCAACAAAGCTTTTGAAGATAAATTTATCTTTAACCATGTGAGAAATCTCACTTACGTTAATGATTGTTCAATAATAAAAAGTAAAAATAAAAATGATTAGTAGTCCACTGTTGATAATCCTCTTCACTTCCCTTCCCCCCCTTTTTCTTAGGAACTCATTACTCCATTGTTTATTTTTACTTTTGTAAATCTAAGAGTGCAAAGCTAAAGGCAGCAGAGGTATTAAAGCAGCCACAGTCTGGATGGGTGGGTGGGTACGGGATCTTTACATATGTATGTACATACATGATCCACAGTACAAATGCCACACGGGGCAGCAGTAGTAGGAGGGTTACAGCTCTGCTACCTACTCAGTAAATCTGTACCAGGACAGTAAGTACGGATTATGCAGCTCTGCAGCATCAAGCTGTGTAAGAAGCTTTGAGAAACCATCATCATCCTCAATCTGCCGTTTCTCTCATCCCTCAAACCCTTCTCAAAAACTCTCTTGTCACCTCTCAGATTTACCCATTTCATTTTCCATGCCACTAGGTGCAGAAATCTCAAGATTCTTGTGGGCTCTGAGCCCCTGCAGGCAGCTGCAAGTTAATTCTATCTGTCTAATTTGGATTGTAACCTCCAGAATCCAGCGTGAATGACCTGTGTGAAAGAGAAGTGGGGGGACATAGATGAGGATACAAAAATCCTCACAAGAAACTGAGTCCAACAGAAAGACCAGGATGGTTTTCTGGAGATTTATTTTGGAGTTACCTTCTGGTTGACAGCCCAGGCCAGAGGGAGAACGTTTCTGAACCTACAGCAAGAATTGCCCCCTACCTCACTTCCTTTAGAGTGAAAGGAGAGCTAACAGCTCCACCAATCCTCACATCTCACAGGTTTCTCTTATACTTGCTTATGTTTATCCTGCCTTATGATATCAACTACCTCTGTGCCAGATGCTACTGGTCCTGTCCTCCCTGGATTGCCCCATAGCTCAGGTCTACAGAGAACAGAGCTGGTCCATGCAACTCCTGGCCTCCGGGCTCTGTTTCTGCCAGCCCCAAGAGCTCTTTGGTGCCCCATCTAAACTCACTTCCCTTGACAGAGAATCTACAGTCTAACCTCTCTCCTCTGGACATCAGATCAGCATCCACTGCAGCAGCAAAGCCTTAAGTCAGCATATTGTAAAGAATCACAGAATTGCCTAGATTAGAAAAGCTCTTTAAGTTCATCGAGTCCAATCATTAACCTCACACTGACAAGTCCCCAACTAACCCATGTCCCTCAGCACTATGTCTACACGACTCTTCAATCCCTCCAGGGATGGGGACTCCACCACTGCCCTGGGCAACCTGTTCCAATGTCCAATAACCCTTTCAACTGAATCACAGAAACATTATAAGCATTACCTTGACATTTTAGCGTACACAGTTAACAATTACATTTCACATTACCTCCTATGTAAAGTCCCTCTCTTCATGCCATCAATACACCACTTCTCCTAACCCCTCCTCACCCAACACTAAGAGCCCCTTTTCTCAGGCAGGCCAACAAAACAGGAGATTTTTGGTGCTTCTAAGCCCAGTTACTATGGAAACAGAAGTGGTCAAAAACTGGTTAAAAGTATAAAAATTAAAAGCAGACAAAATTCCTCAACCTTCAGAACATTTAAAACCCACCTGGGTCATTGCCAAATACCCTAGAAATGCTTCAAGCTCACAATGAGATGCTACAGGCAACATTTCAGGGGCTACTTTCAACATTTGTTATGAAGCCTCTTTTGATGCTCCAGATACATCTTCCTAAGGGTTAACATACCAATACAGGATGGAAGGGAAAAAAAAGCACAAAAGCCGTATAACTTCTTTCCGTGGTATGACAAACTCTCTCTGCATCATATTCCAAAGTGTGAGATACGCAATTTCCATTCTTAAGCTCAGTAAAAAGGGCATAAAAAGTACTAACCCTGGGAACTGCTTGATTATTAGTTTATCAGATCAACATCAGCAAAACTGTCTTTTTATGTGCTGCTTACTTTCAAAAAAAACCTACCATGCATATTTCAGTTCTCCCTCTCCACACCCCACACCCTTCTGCTGCTGTCCAGCTGGAACACATCAAGGGTCTAGAAGCCAAGTCAAATGTTGACCCCACCCTCCTCCATCCATTTTAAGGCACCTTCAAAGCCAGTACACTGATCTAGTTCAGCTTAGCCAACAACGCCAGCAAATCTGTTATTTAAGACTTTAGTGCTGGGTTTTTATAACTGCCCATTAATACAAGCTTTGATGTATGGTCAAAAAATCCAGCTGTAATGAGTTTCATCAGACTGTAGTAACCTTTCCTCAGAAGGTCTTTATTACTATACCTTCATAATCTTTGGTCCCAATACTGTTTTATAGTATCACTCATACTGAACCGCCTTAAAAAACAACACTCAGCAACACTTAACACACCTCCTTCCCCAAAATTAAAACAAAGAGCCATTAATAGTTTTCTAGAAGACACTTTTGCACCCACATTTTTAATAGGAGTTTGCTGTTAAGAGTTTGCAGGCAATAGTTGTGTGAACCAAAAAAGAAACCAATTTTCCTGACAAAACCCTTGAGACAGGATACGAAAGGATTTTGTAAAAGGACAAACTTACTCTGTTGTTCCCCTTTGCAGGATGCAGCAAGGAGGAAAGAGGGGGGGGAAAAAAAGAAGTATTAGATACATTTCTTTTACATGCATTCAGTCTAACTCGTACAGTTCTGGAAACAACTCAAACCAAATGAGGAACTGACTCAAAGAACATTCACTGAATCCTTTAGACAGACAGCTTCCCGGGGAGCATACGACATTCGCAAAGGATTTAAAACGTTCAGCGAAGTTGTAAATTCACACTGTTTTTCAAAATTTCCTCTTGACACAAACATGCTGATTCCACTTTTGCTTCCTTCAGTGTAAATCAGGAACAGCTCCTGGGAAGTTGGTGGACACTAACACAAGGGAGAAGAAAATGAGGCCTGAAATGATCTAGGGATGGGACGGAAGCCAGAGGGATTTTCATGTGTTGGTAATACTGAACTTCCAGTACGCAAAGCAACCCACTAAACATGTCTGCTTACCCTTGCTTGACAGCCACTCCCTAAGACATGCCAATGAGTGGAAAGTTTCATGGTAAAATGCTTTTTAAAAAGCAAATATTGAACTTTTAGATTAGTAATAAAAACGAGGAGATGGCATTAGGGGAGAGGGGAAAAGGAACAGACGGTGCTAGCGAGGTAAAGTGTGCAGAGCAACTTACGGCAAACATCTGTGCTATTATTTTTTATTTTAATTGTGAGTTTTGCCATGAGCTGGCATGAACAGTGTATATTATACAGTGGGAAGTCAGCCAAAATAAACACCAGCTTACAGTTGAGAAATACAGTCTGGAAAGGTTAGTCACAAAGTTGTAGTCATTTTTTAAAAAAGGAGGTTTTTGGATGCGTCAGTCCAGAAATCCAGCAGTAAAGTCAGCTGGTAAATGGATATCCCGTTTCAAAGTGAATTGGCCACAGTGTGATTTATATCAAGCAAGCGGACTTGCATATGGGTTGGAAAAATAAAATCACTGATTCATTGCTATCTGGGTGGCTGTCAAAGCCCACGTCCTGACAAAAGCAAATCTCCTGGGGAAGGAGGTGACTCGGCAAGCTGAAAAAGAATCCAGGGGCTCATAGAGCAACATTAAGGGGTGATTAAAGGTAGTTAACAGGAGAATGAATATATGAACATGAGTGTGCATCCCCATGTGCAGAGGGACAGAGAAGGCAGGTAAATAAAGTGAGGAAATGGAGGAATGGGGTGATATCTGGCCTTTAATTTTTAATATATTAATGAGAACTGTTTAAGCAAAAAGAAAAATTAAAAATCAACCACCTTGGACTTGGCTTACAAGATTAAATTAGTAATAGAGACTTCATATTAGTGGCAGTAAATACTGAGCCCCACTACCACTGTAATCACACAATTTTTAGTAGCACTACTAAAAAACCAACAGAAAAATTAATATTCTTAGTTGAGAGATTTGCCCCTGGTGAGAATTCAGAGCAAATCTCTTTAATTCAGTGACAAATTCCTATTTTTCCTGCCACTGCAAAAGGAACCCAGCTAGGGGCAACTGTGTTGGGTTTTACATCAGTGTCCTTGTATGCGAGCAGCAGAACTGTTAATGAAAGCACACAGCTTAGCTTTCAAATTCCAGGCTGCGCACACTGCTCTGGCAGTTACAGAAAGCAGGCCAGCTTCACCACTGCAATACTCCAGGTTTATAGCACTATTAATCTATTTTTCATTTCTAAGCAGCAATTTTTTTACTTCTAGCGCCAAAGCCTTGGATACTCAAAGTTACCAGCTGTGACTCGCACATGAAAAAGAGCGAGAAGGTCAGTCTGGGAAGGGGCTAGGGCACCTCTTTGCCTTTTTAACTCCGGGATCGCAAAGCTGTGGAGAAGCACTGAAGTAAACGCAAGTTGCTGCCATTTCCTGGCAGTTTCTCTTACATAAAAACACGGCCTCTAAATCTTCGAAGGAGAATAAAAGACTGGGGGGTCGTCTCTAAAACTATTTCATATTGTTAGAGGAAGGTGTGAAACTGAGGATTTTAATGAAACACTGCTCATTTTTATTTAAGTTCCACTGGAGCTTCTAAGGTACCCTGGGCCTTGGAGCTTTAGCTCTGTAAAATTTAAAAGTTTTAACAGCAGCCTTGCAGCCCACGTTTGGACCTCAAGTCCTGTAGGAAAAAAGAGCTTTGCAAGACTAGTGCAGCATCAAGCATCTTTCCTGGACAGCTTGATAGACTACTGGGTGAATTTCAAACTACAGGGGCTGGAACAATAATATTCACTCTTTTTGTAATGTAAAGATAATTCCAGTTCAAAGGAGAACTGAATTTTGACTCCCTTCTACTTCTGTCTTTCAAGGAAGTCTCTCATTTTATATCTAAGACTCCTTTGACAGACCAACTTTAAACAAATACAAGAATTCTTTATAAACATATTTTGAATACAAAATATTTTTAGGGGGAAGGGAGACACAGGAAGACAGAAGAGAAGCTTAGAAATCCAACTTGTCAGTCTTGTTTAAAGCTAAAGTAAGAGATATCTGAATATGAGAAACACATCACAGAATACATTAAACTAGAGGCAGCAACAGGCTTTTTTGACATAATTATTAAAACCTGAGCAAGAAAAAAAAAAAAAGCAACCAACACAGTATTTTGTTCCTAGTATTTAATTAGGTAACCTGTCCTAATTAGTTCTTGTAAAATTACTTCTGATAGTCTTAGGTAGGAACTGTTCTACTGGGGCAGGCAACATACTGAAGAGTCTCCAAGATTATATATATCTTTTTAAAAAGGTAGGTCTCCTGATAAATTTGGTCTTGAACTATTCTTAAAAAATCATCATCACAACTGTTTATTCCTATAATAATTGAATAATTCAGCAGTTCAGGGATTCTCTGATTTATCTTTTGATAGTAGCCTTGACATTTGGTATGAAGAGAGGAAGCTGAGGGGTTATTTGCATAAATAGCAGCCAGAGGAGATGCAGATAGAATTATACTGGAAGCCATGGAGGTTTAAGGGAAGTTTAAGGGAAATATGAGGAAGAGAAAGATGAAGAGATAGAAGACAGCACAAGACCCTAGACTCAAGGGACCTCGCCTTCCAGGGAAAACAAGCAGGAAGAAGAACAAATTCTATCAAAATCAAAGCATCATTTCTCTAAACAGATCTTCTGCTGAAGGAATCTAGCAGACCAGGAGACTTCCTGGAGAAAGGTGAACCATGCATTAGAGAAACTTTCAAAAGCTCAAATGACAGGTATTTTTGCTAGTCAGCCTTCTCTCTGGATACATCTCCTCAAACCTTTACTTGATATTAAATATCAAAATAACTAAGGCAAAATAATATGAAATTGTAGTTGTGCATATTTCGTTTCCCAACTTTCTGTCTTTCTGTTAAATTAATAGAGGCTTTTTTGCTGTATCCTATTCAATTTGCTCCTCATGATGATTAGCTGAGTAAAACTAACTTTGGAAAGGTTTAGCATGTGTTTCATACACAAAAAACAGGCAGTGAATCAGTAAAATAAATATACATGATTGCCTGGAATGCTTCTGCCAGTTCTGTAATACAGAGCTTGAGGGAATAAACTCTTCAAAGCACATCTTTACCTTAGAAGACATTAACAGAAACGAAGAAACTCAGGAAACCTGAAATGGCTCAATGCTTTTACTATACAGATCCAATTAATACAATTTTGGAAGGTTTGGTTTGTGTTTTTTGGATTATTTTTTTTATGTTAAGGTTGGACACACAAATTGATCTTAAAATATTTCACTATGAATATTTCAAAATTACCACAGAAGAGCACAATGAAAAGCTACCATTTTTTGAAATATCTGCAGATATTGTGTTTTCCCAGATGACACGATTGGTTTTTTCTGACTCAAACATAGCAGCTACTGGAAAGCTAGTGAGCTGTTTAACTTACTGAGGATTTATCAGGATAGACACCGGCTCGTAGCAGAGATGCCTTCCAGCTATCCACCTCCTCTTGGGAGTCACAGGCTAGCTCAAGGAAACGGTAATCCTTGTAAACATTCCTAGAACAAAGAGCACCACATTGTAAACCCAGCATTTTACTACTCTGTATCATGCATACAGCATTTTAAATTAAAAATCCTTTGGGATCAGAAATTACTTGGTAATTGTTTTGGACAATAGAGTTTATGGGACAGGTGGTTGTTTAATAATTACATGGAGTACTTAAAAATATCTTAGAGTGCTACAGCACAGCTCTGGAAATAATAATCATCTGAAAGCACCATGAAACTACTTAAAATCAATTTTCCAGCTATTGCCAAAATGGAGCACTGTTAGGGTAAAAAAGGCTGTTAGGATACAGAGGACAAACACATGACACATCAACAAAACTGCATGACTTGTGACTGATTGCTGCTGTAACCGATAAATATCAAAACAATTAACGATGCCACTTTGTCCCATGGTAAGTCCTTTCTTTCAGTGCATTATATAAGCTTTTCAGCTTTTAGATACCATCTGTAAAAGGGGAAAGACAACAATGATAATCAGACATTTTAAACAAACAAAACAAACCTCTGATGTCTGCCGTCATAGTAAGCAAATTGGGACATGTTTAAATAACAACCCTGGCAGGTAATTCATATAAATAGATAAATATAGGGAATCACTTAATGGAAGAAAAGAGAAAGGAGGAAAAATACATCATATGTAGGAAGGTGGTACTTGTAAATTCTCCAATAAACAGAACAGTTTTTCCCCTTATGGTTTAGCCATTAGTTTCCAAATTCAAATTCTATATACAGACCAGATCGTTGTAAATTTGTCAGCCAACAGTCTTTTCAGGAAAGGCCACAAGCTTAGCTGACAAAGGTTAGGAAACCACATTTTGCTAGATCTTAACAGCTGCACAAGAATGAATCTTCCATCACAACCAGAGTGTTTTCTTTCCTTAGCAAGCGATGGAGAAGCAGGAGTGGGGTTGATGGAGATTACTTCGCTTTCGAAGACAGCAATGATAAGATGTCCTTTAGTTTCATTATGCAGCTACAAAGGTCATTTATGTCACATATTTGGAGGGGAAATAAAATGTATACACTATGGAACCAGGAAATAAAGCTATTGCTATCACTGCCTAGACAAATTTCTTTAGCATTCAGGGACTGGTGGGATTTCATCGTCACACTGCTGGAACACAACCGACTTGACGTAATTCCCACTCACAGAAGTGCTTCTCCTTTACTACCAATGTCACCAGACAGCTCCTAGCCTTGCTTTTCAGGTGTAGTCTCAGGAAACACATTAAAAACAGGTAGAAAAATTGTAATTGAACAGTAAGCATTCGTGCCTGAGCATGAAGCAGCCACAACACCTCATCATTAACCTATCAGCTGCCAAACCACAGCATGGCAACCAGAGCATACCCACCTCTGAATAGAGGGAAATCAGATACTTTTAGCAGGCTTATAGCTTGCATTCAAAACTGTGAAGAATAAAGGACATACTCAGATTTCCTTGCAATGGTGACATAATTCTCACCAATTTCAATGGCTACATCTGAGCAAGCAGGCAGGCATGCTCAGCACCAGCCTTGCACTACTTCTCGCGAGCATCCTGATTAGAGATGCCACATGAACGTGCTTCAGTGCCACAGGGGCAGCACATCTGTACTTCCCTCCCAGAGAAACCAGTCTGCAAAGGGATAAAAAGACACTAAAGGGTCAGGTCCCAGAGTTTAGGCAAAGTCACTGACAGTATGAATGACTGAAAGCTCTATGGATTTTTTTTTATTTATTAGAAATTTAAAATTAAACCTTTTTCTTCCCTGACTCCAAATGTACTAATCCTGCCTTAAGGCAAGTAATAGCCTGGATGACCTCCTCAGATGCTGTGATCTTAAACTAATGACAAAACACTTGAATTTTATTCATTTTGCAATATTGTGGAAATCCAAGTCACATTTACTGAACAAAACAAAGAACTCAATAAAAATAAACAGAGAAGCAAAATGAAATCTCCAGAGAAAAAAATTGCTTTAATTTATTGTTAGGAGAAACTTTTACTGAGATAAGTTTTTTGGCTAAGTTAACTAAGCAGCTATAACTTTGAAGAAATAGGAAGCTGGAATGGTAAAAGAGTACTCTGAGAAAAGATGACTAAAAATAACAATAGAGAAAATAAAGGCTGTAAAACATAGTTCCAAAAATACTTATCTGCAAGAGCAAAACAACATGACACCAGCTTGTGAAAACATTTTTTCAGGACTGTCAGGTTATACATTAAATTTTTGGGCATTTTGTGACTCTCTACACATCAAGTGTAGCTGTACTAGAGAGGATTTTAGCCAACCACTTTGAACAGATGGGAGCCAGCAGTCCTGCATCCCTGTCTCTGTATCAAGACTTTTTATAGGTCTAAGGACACCTTACGGACAAGCAGCCAATGTCTCCAGCTCTCCAAGGTCCCTCTCCCTGTAGTTTCTGAGAGCTCCACCATTTTAGTGTAGTTAATCTTACCTCATCACCACCACAAAACACACAAGTTTCAGCATAAGTGAGGAACTGAAGGATGTACATACTGAGCCAGAACTCATAGGAAGCTTACAGTAGGGTAGGTAAATGGATGATTGCCTCCCAAATCAGCTTCCCTCCTACTAGACTTCCTTTGCCTTTCCTTCTTCCAGAAAGGCTGACAAGCACAGGAAAAAAAGCCAAAGTAACTTCTGAAAAGAGTGTGTCCTGTCAATAGTGGATCTCACAGAAACACATAAACATGCTTTACTCATTAGGAATCCACTGGAATCTCATGGAAAGCTGCAAAAATGTTCTTGAAAACAATAAAACAATTCAGATTTTCTGTTTTGTTCTCTCTTCCACTTTTTAAAATTGATTAAGATATCAGCACAGAAACAGTTACTGCTCAGTCCTCACCTACTTCATATGGAATACAGTGAGGCCATGTTCTCATTGTCATCTCTAGAGCAGCAAAATGGGATGTTACACACCAAAGAGAATGCCATAAAACAGGATACCAAGAAGCAAAAAGATGAACTCTCAACAATACAAATCTTGTGGATATTTAGGCGTCTTTATATCTAAAGGACTGCAGAAACAAAACAGATACAATAAATGGGAACATGCCTAGAAGTACAATTTGTGTGCAACATTTCCCTTAAATATTTAACCTTTTTTAAATGTGAACACATAAATGGGGAATCTGTGTGCAAAACTATAGCTATATAACACATCTACAACATCTGCCTATGCTGCTTCCTCCTGTAGAGTCCCATCACTGTAATTTAATATCCTGAATAGTACATGAAAATACATCTATAGTGGCATTACTGGAATTTACTATAATGCTACTTTATTTCCAGAGCGAAAAATACAAAAGGTTACCATGTGTTATTTGCAGATTTTATCATACTCTAGATAAATAAACCTCAAGAACTGCATTCCAGAAAAAACACAACATAATGGCTTACGGAGACAAACAGACAATTGGACTAAAAGCATCATTTCCAATTCCAGAATGCTTCCACACTCAGGACATACCTTCTTTAGGCCAGGCCCATTACTTGGAAGTCCAGCAGACACCCAACAAATTCTTCACTTTATTATTACCTTTGTTTCCAACATACTGGATTCCTTTCCCTCACATATTTTGGGGCCCAAAGTGAATTTTCTAGTGCAGAAATGACCTTTACATTGTCCATAGATATTTATTTAACCCCTCCCATCACAGAATAATCCTAACACGAAAATGCAGGAATGAAGTAAGGTATTTGAAAGCGTACAAGAGGAATCAGGAAAGTGCCAGATATGTTTGAATACTGAGCCTAGTTGTAAGTTACTGAGATTCCCGTCTCACTAGTCCTGAAGCCTGAGCTGTCAATATTACACAGAGAAGGTTTAATTGCCCATAAAACAGCAGAACTATACAATCCAGGACCAACAGGTGAATAACACACACCCGAAAATCACAAAGAAAGAATTTTCTAGTTGCCTGCTACAGTGGAGGCAATAAAACTTCTTTACGGTGAGGGTGACAGAGCCCTGGGACAGGCTGCCCAGGGAGGGTGTGGAGTCTCCTTCTCTGGAGACATTCAAGACCCGCCTGGACGCCTTCCTGTGTGATCTCATTTAGGTTCCTGCTCTGGCAGGGGGATTGGACTGGATGATCTTCTGAGGTCCCTTCCAATCCCCAACATTCTGTGATTCTGTGTTTCCCTCTACGGCAGTTGCATGTCAAAACCGCTTGCTACCTGAGCAAACTCAACTGGCTAGACCTCATCATGTATAGTATCTCTTGCAAATTCATAACACTAAGATAAGGTTGAATATTATCTCCAACAAATCTGGAAAGATTTTAAGGGCAACCACTGTAGACACATTACAAACCCAGTTAATAGGCGTGAATTTATATTAATGCATATCCACATTTTAACCATATGCATAGAACAGCTTTTAGATTGAGTTGGATCTGGAACATCTAATTAGACAAAGATGTACTGTATAGGCAAGTAATTCTTTTATATAGAGGGGAAATACAAACCAAGATTAAATGAAGAAGCATTTATTCTTGCCAATATAGGAGGAGACAGAACAGCAGTTATGGAGCCAGAATATTCGAGAAATTTTCAGAATTGTGCCTATAAGTCACTTTAATCCTCCAAAGAACACAAAGCCACATTTAACCTCAGTAGTCACATTGAAACAAGTGTATCTACTCCCAGACTGAACGATAAAGGAATATCTTATTTTACAAGGATTTCAAACAAGTATCCTTATAATGTCAAATTATTTTTTGGTAAATGTCAGGTCTTTTTATTAGGATGCAAGCAAAATTGGAATGAACATTAGAAATCTAGAACTAAATGCAAGTCAGCCCAATTTTATTCCATGAAAAATACATAAGATTCAATCCTTCAATTTCAGTCAAATTAGGAGTATCTAAGTCATGCAGAATATGGGTTTCATAAACAGTCACCTAAAATGAAAAAAGGAGAAAATAACAGAACCCAGATACTCCAAATATATGTGCACAATCAGGAAAGATAATA